GGGGGCGGGGCGGGCTGGCTGCCCTCCCCCTCTCTAAGGGATGGTGTCCCCCTCTCTAAGCTGTTCTGGCTGACTCAGGCCAGCCCCATCCTCCCAGACACGCTCGGTTTGGCAGGTGATGTGTTTGAGGGCCTGCATTGTCCAGCAAGTCACCCAGACTCTCCCCCACCCGCCGTCCCCTTTCTTTCACTAGACCCGGAGACCCAGCCCAGGGCTGGCAGACTGGTGAGGCCTCGGCGGTCTTGGGGGGTCTTGCTGGCGTACACGTGCCTTGGCCCCGCCCCGGCCCCGCCCCTTCTCTGATTAGGGGCCGTGACTTTGCTCTTCTGCGGGGAGCTAGTTGCCGAGAGCGCCTCCTCGCCATGGAGACACTTAATTCGCAGCCTCAGGGTAGCTCCCCTGAGTGCCTGACCTGAGAGCTGAGGGCGGGGGCACGTGTCCCCGAGGCCGTCCAGGGTCCCACTGCCCAGCTAGACTGGGAGACAGGTGCGACTGACCCCTCACGTGAGGATGCTCACCGATGCCCAGGGCTCAGAGGGCAGCCAGTGTAGCCCAAGGGCAGGGGGGTGAAGTCGTTCTGAGACACCGCGCAGCCCTCCCTCTCCCTGTCCCACCCCCCCAGGCCGCTATTCGCGACCATCACCCGGGTGGCCGTCCCCACCTGTTGCGGCCGCGGCCCCCCAGGAAAGCGCACCGCACAGGTGGAATGCTCTGCATTCGCAGGTTATTATTAACCCGGCGGTGACATCACCCGCAGCCAATGGGAGGCGGGTTTATTTCCAGGGCTGACAGCTTGATAACGGTTAATTTTAGCTGGATCTTCTTTCCCTAGGCTGGTGAAAACCCCGCCTGCCAAAGAGGGGGCTGCATGTGTCGCCCCAAACAGCTCACTGGGCCTGGGAGCTGGGGGGGGGGGTTGAAGAGGCAGGGCCTGTACCCCTCCCTCTGCCTGCTCCCCAGAAGCTGCCTTGGGAGGCAGCACCAACCTCCTTAGCTGGAGCCCCTTCCTTGCTCTCCCCCACCCATAACCTTGGCTGCTACTGGGGGCCACAGTGACCAATGGTACAGATGTGGGAAAGGGAGGCTACGGGGTCGAGCCTGACTTGGGAGGGGCAGAGCACAGGTGGGATCTGGATGGGCTTGTCCAGAAGCAGCACTGACCTGGCTCAGGTCTTCCAAGTCATCTGCAAGCTCTGCCCTCCTTGCTGTGTGACCTCAGGCACTGTGCTTTGCCTCTCTGTGCCCAGCTGATTCTTGATCCATGGACCCTCAGGCTGCCTGGGAGCCCCACCATGCAAGGCTGGGTGACTGTGGCTGTCTAGTACATCATGTAGTGTTTAGTACTGCTTAGTATTTTGTGGTTATTCAGTACTAGTCAGTGATTAGTAGTTATTCAGTACTATTCCGTGGTTATTAAGTATGAATCAGTAGTTAGTAGGCATTAAACACTATGCAATAGTTAGCAGCTGTTTGCCAGTGAGTTGTACCATGCAGTAGTTAGTGCTCCACTCTGCCGGTGGGTGTTATTTAGCATCATACCTCCCTGTGTCTCACTACTGTGTGAGCCCAGTGTCTCCAGGTGCTGAATCTCCAGGGACTCCCAGGGCCCTGCAGGTAGTACTGCTGAGGACACAGAAGCCTCTTGGCGAAGACATTGGAGGCTCCTCCCTAGGGTCAGCCAGCAGACCCTTGGGAAGGATGTTGCCTTCCAGCAGCGGTGGCCACTGCTCCTAGCAGCACGGGGTTCCAGCACCGGCTGGCCTCTGGCACTGGCACCCCAGTGCGGTTTGGTGCCTGCCAGCTGACAGCTGTGGGTGAGCCTGAAGCAGAGAGGCACGGACCTGTGTGGGGGTGTCTGATAAACACCCTCTGAGGTTGCAGGCAGCTGGAGGTCCCCTGGAGGAAGTTGGGGTGGTGTCCACAGGGACCCGGGCCTCCTGCCTGTCCCATCCCAGCCTTGGCCAGTCACAAAGTCTCCCAGATGCCGCCTAACCTTCAGCAGGATGGGACACCTTAAGCCTAGAGACCAGCTCAGCTGGGCAGGCTGGGCTGCGCTTTCCCTGCAGGCGTTTATTTTTAATTCCTGGCTCCTGTTTGGTGGAATCAGCAGCGCGAGGAAGTGCTGGGTCACTTGCCAACTATTGCCTACCGAGGACACAGGGACAGTATGGCAGAAGGGCCCTTCCCCCACCCCCACCCTGGAGGAACCCTCACTGCAGGCAAGGGAGACCTGCTTGGCCCCCAGCCCATCTCTACTTCCTGGCCTGCTGGGGGTCCCATTGCTGGGGGCTCCTAGTGGGCACTGCCCCATCATAAGGTGCTGAGCCCTGGGCCTCTGCTCCCACCACATGTTTCTGAGACCCTGCCTGGCCTTCTCCCAGACCCAACCGTAACCTGAGTGTCCTCAGGATGTGAGGGAGATGGGAGAGATGGCCCTGGGGAGGCATAATCATGGGTGAGCTGACAAGGTTGGGGGTCTCTAGAAGGGGCCGTGACTGTGGTCTTCACTGACCCCTCCCCCTCCCTGAAACCCATTCTGGTCATTGCCCTGGCCTGTGACCACCCCACTTCCCTGCGGCCTGACACTCTGACCCTGCCAGGGCCACGGCCCGGGACTCTCTTTGGGAGCCTTGTTTTTGTATCAGCTCTGCGTGCTTAGGAACTCTGCCCATGTATGCAGACCAGGGCAGCCCTTGAAGGTCTCAGTGGGCTCTGGGGGCAGACTTCAAGTGTACCCTCCACACAGAGGGGTCCAGGGTGGAGAACAGTTCTTTCCTGGGGCCTCAGAATCTGGTGGTGGAGCCTTAGGCCACTTGGCCAAGCTGAGGGGACCCTGGAGGCCACAATTCCAAGGTCACAGGGAACCACGGGGCCCAATAGGGAGAAGCCTGGCTTTGAGGGCCTGCTGAGGCACACCTCTGTGGCAGGCATGTGGGGATAGGGGCCAGATTCTAGGCCACCCTGGGGAGACACCTCAGAACACAGGTCCATTGTAAACCAAGCGGCAGACGCTACAGCCGCCCTGACCCCAGCCTCAACAACCACCCTCGACCTGTTGTGCTCCCACCCTGCCCCTGCCTGCCGGGTTCCTGAGGACTGGGCCCGTCCCTGGCACCTCCTCTTATGATCCGAATGTCTTCCTGTCTTGTGCTTGATGCACCCATCCTCTCTCCCTGCGGGCCTGAGCCTGGCGTTTCAGTCTGGCTTTATCTGTCTTCTGCCCCCAGCTCTTTCTCTCCTGGTCCCTCTATCCATGCCCTCCCTCTTTTCTTCCTCCCTCTCCCCGTCTCGTCGCGGTTCTCCGCCGCCTCCGCCTGTTTTTCTCTCGCTGCTTGCGCTCCCTTCGGGTGCGTCTCGTCTCCGCCTTTGTAGCTCGCTCCCTCGCCGCATCCTCCTCTCGCGTCCCTGTCGCGCTCGCGCGCGCCCGCGGACCCTGCATCCCTCGCGTCCCCGCCCCCGGCCCCGCCCGCGCCGGTACCGCATTGCCGTACTGCAGGGGCGCGGTGCACTGCGCCTGCTCGGGCGATAGGTGGACCCCCCTCCTGGAGAGATAAAACCGCCGGCGCCGGCACCGCCAGTCCCTCTGGCTGAGACCTCGGCTCTGGGTAAGGACGCTGGGCCTCCGGGTCCCCATTCCCGCCCCCAGCTTTCCGCAGAGGGTCCCTTCCCCGGGGACCAGTCCTGGGGGCATAGACTGGCCCGTCCCGGCTTCTGGCGAGGCTGCGGTCCTCCCTGCGGAGATCTGCCGCCCGCCCAGCACGCCCGCACCGGCACCGGGGTCAGTCCCCGGGGCGGCCCTGGGTGGTGTGGGGGCACCGTGGTATCGCTTGTTTACCCGGCGGCTGAGGCGGGGACGAGTCTCCTGGACAGTGGCGATCGACTTGCAGCCGTGACCTTGGGACCGCCTATGGCCCTGCCGGATTGAGGAAGGGTCGTCAGCGCTGGGGGCTGGTGAGGGTGGGCGCTGTGGGTACCCGCCATGTAGCGGGAGAGCGGCAGGGGGTCAGACCTGAAGGGTCCTTGCCACCCCGCCCCCACCCGCGCTGGCGATGTCCACTTGGTATCCACACCCTAGGGTGCACCTTTTTCTCCAGCTTTCCCTCCCCCAGCTGCCTGTCACCTCCTGGGCTACCTAGGTTTCCCCATTGACCTCCAGGATGGAGCAGGGGCTGTGACTCTGTGATTAGAGGGGAGGGGGTGGGGAAGGCCCCCTGCCCCCAGCAGGCTGGGGGCATCTGTCTGTCATTTGCTGAGCTTGGCTGCTAGGGCCAGATTCACCCTCTGGACAGAGCAGGGACCCCCACCTCCCTGCCCCACTGTCTGCCCCCTGTCCAGATCTGGGGAGGGCCTGAGCTATTCTGGGCCCCTGATCTGGGCACTGCATCACCCTGCCTGAGGTCTGGGCCAGCCTGTCTCCCCGTGCCAGCCTGCCGGGCAGGGATGAGAGGAAGATGGCGCCATCGCTGCTAGAGGAGGGGAGTGGGAAGCCCTGACCGTCTCTCCACTGTGACAGCTCGGCGGGGGTTGGGGGGTGCTGGGATTGGGTGCAGTGTCCCAGCCCAAGACCGTGGGTGGGGGAGCAAACACCGGGGACAGGGCATTGGAGAGCTGGGCAGGGTGACTCATCAACAGGCTCCTGACTGGTCATGGGGCTCACCAGCCTGGTGTTTCTTGGTCTCTCCAGAGGGGGGATAACCTCTCTCAAGGCGGGGGGGGGGGTTGTAGCCACGACACTCAGACATTTCCAGCTGTTGGGCCCTTTGGGCTTGCCCCTGGGCTCTGCTCAGCTAAATGCAGAGACCTGGCTATAGCCTCAGGGTCTTGTTCTGTGGGGCAGGGTGTGCTCCCAACCTGGGCAGGGCAGTGTCTGCTGGGCTACTCCCGGAGGCCCCCCATCACCTGTGCCCCTGCCTCAACCCACAGACTCACTGCTCAGCGTCCCCTCATCCTGAGCCAGAGCACCCCAGGTCGTGCCAGCCCCTCCCCACGCCCCAGGCAGAATGGGCAAGGAGAAGACCCACATCAACATAGTGGTCATCGGCCACGTGGACTCGGGCAAGTCCACCACGACTGGCCACCTCATCTACAAATGCGGGGGCATCGACAAGAGGACCATCGAGAAGTTTGAGAAGGAGGCTGCCGAGGTGAGCCCTGGGGGAGCTCCCCGTTTCGCCTCCACCATGAGGCTGGGGTCCCATGTGGCAGCCCGACTGGCACTTCCCTGACCCTGGGGCATGAAGCTCAGATGATCTCCTCCAGGGCAAGAAGATGTGTGTGTCAGAGCATCCAGATGGGAGAGGCAGGGGGCAGGGGAGCAGGGGCACCTCTCTCTGAGGAGGTGCCTGTGAAGGAGGTGGACCAACCTGCTGGACCTGTCCCGGGGCAGGGGGAGGTGCACTTTTCCCAGTACTGGTCACTGTCTCTGAGCCCCACAGTTGGGTTCCTGTAGCCCCAGGGCTGAGTCTGGGGCTGAGGGTGGCGCTGTCCTCGCTTGTCCCAGGGCAGGGCCAGGGCTCAGAGTGGCTATTAATAGCCAATTGATGGGCACCCAGCCCATCAGCTCCATTTTCTCATGCTGGGCTGGGGCAGGCCACTCATCTAGGGTGGCACCCTTTTTTAAGGGGCCCTGATGGCTGAACCCCCATTTCTGGAGGCTGATCCTCTCAAGTTCTGAGACCCATGGGTGGGAGGTGTCTGTGAAGTAGGGGTCTGCTCTCTGTGCCCCCTACCTTCACCCCTGAGCTCTGGGAGAAGCCCCCCGTCTGGGGAAGCTGTCAAGGGTCTCACCTGGATGACTGGTGCCAGGGCTCAGGAGGGGGCGGTTGCTGGCCTGGACTGAACCCTGTTCTCAGAGTGGGTGGGGGTGCTCTTGGGCCCCAAAGCTGTGTCTTTCCTTCCCTTCCGGGCTGGTACCTTGCGGCGGGGGGGCGCTGAGGGTGTTCGCAGGGTGTCTGTCTGCGTAGCCTCCCTGGAGGGCAGAGTTCGGTCCTTGCGCAGCCCTGGCAGGGGGTTTTGCCCAGCTGGACAGTGAACACACAGTCCTGACCGCAGCCCTGGCCCTGAGCCTGGGGGTCTCGCTCTGCACGCGGCGCAGGTGTTGGCAGAGGGTGGCCCGGCTTTGCTTCCCCTGCTCAGGTGAGGCGGGGGTGGGGGAGGAGCCTAGGAGCCACTGGGGAGCTTTATCTGTAGAAAGAGCTGGAAAGCCAGGCCCTTCCTTGCAACCTCATCTGATTTCTTTCTTTCTTAAAAAAAAAAAATCACAGAGGGGTTTTTTTGGTTGGACAGTGTGAAACCCAGTGGTGTCGTCGGCTGACACAGAGATCTATCTGGGGGAGGGGAGACCCTGGCTTCAGATAAAGGGGAGCCCTCAGCCGGGGGAGGGCTTGAAACCGCCCGCGGCTTCTCTCCCAGGGCGGCTCCCAGGCCCTTGCGCCCCCTGCTGGTGGATGCTCAGATGGCGCCCGTTGTGACTTGAAGGAGGCTGGTCTGGGCAGGCAGGGACGAGGTCTGGGTGTCCCCGGTTCCAGAGCTGGGTCCAGAGTCCCCGGTCCCGGCAGGAGCGAGAGCCTTCTCCGCTGTGACATGGTGCTCCCACGGCCCAGGCGGACCCGTGACCAGGCCGTTGGGTCCGGGTCCGTCCTGAGCCACGCCCCCCCCCCCACCGCCCCTCCAGATGGGGAAGGGCTCCTTCAAGTATGCCTGGGTACTAGACAAGCTGAAGGCAGAGCGGGAGCGCGGCATCACCATCGACATCTCCCTTTGGAAATTTGAGACCACCAAATACTACATCACCATCATCGACGCCCCAGGCCACCGCGACTTCATCAAGAACATGATCACAGGCACATCCCAGGTGGGCGGGGCTTCGGGGGTCTAGGGGATCTGGAGGTGGGGCAAGGGCACCATTTAGTAGACCCTGGGGGCCCTGGAATTGGTGAGTGGTGGTTGGGTTTCCTCTGCTTCCTCACCAGGGCATGAGACCCCTCACCTTTGTCACCACTCACCCCTCAAAGAATTGAGTAAGCGCCCCAGCATCTCAGCCAGGCAAGAGTGCCTATAAGGACAGCTGACCACTGTCAGGGCCGACTTCACAGACGAGTGGACACAGAGGCCAGGATGGGGACACTGAACGTAGACAGAAATGCACCTCCCCCAGACAATTCAACATTTCCAGGGCATTCACACACACACTCCCTCTAAGGGTGAGACCCCCAGGTTCCATCCCCAGGCGACTGCCCAGGCCCCTGTCCACTGCCCTGAGGGGCCCGAGCTCACCCTGCCTGACCTTCCGGACAGGCGGACTGCGCCGTGCTGATTGTGGCCGCAGGAGTGGGTGAGTTCGAGGCAGGCATCTCCAAGAATGGGCAGACCCGGGAGCACGCGCTGCTGGCCTACACGCTGGGTGTGAAGCAACTCATTGTGGGGGTGAACAAGATGGACTCCACGGAACCCGCCTACAGCGAGAAGCGCTATGATGAAATTGTCAAGGAGGTCAGCGCCTACATCAAGAAGATCGGCTACAACCCGGCCACCGTGCCCTTCGTGCCCATCTCAGGCTGGCACGGGGACAACATGCTGGAGCCCTCACCCAACGTAAGTGCCCCTCAGTGGTGGGGCTGCTCCCCAAAGGCCCCTGGGTCAGGGTGAGCACAGATGGCCAGTGGGGGGTCAGAGAGCTGTCCCCAGGCTGCTCTCAGCCCTATGACTGTGGTACTAGCCCTCTGTGGGTGTTGTGCTGGTGGGAACCATAGCCTCCTTGGGTACAGGCACTCTGCCCTCAGCTCAGTTTCCCCAGGAGGCTGGCCAAAGCCACTGCAGCCCCTTCTTTGGCCAGGGACACCCCCAGATTGACACTGTGGGGGCAGTGGCCACTAAGGCCCAGGCTTATCTGCCCACTCCTGGCTGTGGGGTGCATGGGGTGGGGGGAGGTGGGTGCTATGACGGTGCCTTCTTCTTCCTGCCCAGATGCCCTGGTTCAAGGGCTGGAAAGTGGAGAGGAAGGAAGGGAATGCCAGTGGCGTGTCCCTCCTGGAGGCCCTGGACACTATCCTGCCCCCCACACGCCCCACAGACAAGCCCCTGCGTCTGCCACTGCAGGATGTGTACAAGATTGGTGGTGAGTGAGGGCTCCATGGCCACTGCCCGCTGCAGTGCTCCTGCCCACCTGGCCAGCTCTGCCCTCAGACCCCCTCCTGAAAACCGCCCCCAGACCAGGAGCATCCAGGGCCAGTTATTTCTGCCTCTCCCACCATGCTGCACACTTTCTGGGGGACCACCCATCCACCTATCTCTATCCATCCATCTATCTGTTCATCCATCTATCCCAAGACTGCTGGGGTCTTCCTCCCTCCAGACAAGTGCCCAGCCCTATGCCAGCACCAGTGGCACAGGGAGAGTCATTTATCACCCTCCACCTGGAGATCCCTGACTTGCAAGAGACACCATCCACTCTAGGAATGAGAAGAGCTGGTCACCCAATGATGCAGACCCATAAACAAGTGTGAGGCCCACAGGGGGCCATAGTGGGGGGACTCCCAGCCAGGAGGCTGTGGCCAGAGATGCTGAGGACCTGGGTGCAGGTGGAGTATCACACTCACCCAGCAGAGAGCATAGCCATCAGCCTCCTTAATGCCACAGGAGCCTCTGCCACAGCCAGGGAAGCCAGGCTCGAGCCCCCTGCCCCCTGTCTTCGGGGCGGCATCACACTCCCACTGTTTGGCCACACAGTGGAAGCAGATCCTGAGAAGTGTGGGGGCACCATGCCCCTTTGGGACTCACCCCTGAGATGGCAGCACGGGTGCTGGGCGGGCCACCCCGGGGGGGCTGGTCCACAGCCCTCTTAGTGCTGCTGTCTCACATGGAGGGCCCTGTGGTGCCTCCTCTTGGGACACTTGCCCCTGGGGGTAGATGGGGCCTCTTGGTGCCCGTGTTCCCTGTGTTCTGGGAACTTGCTTCCTCAGGCCCTTTTTCTCCAGATGGGGCAGGAGAAAGGTCTCCACCTCTGTGTAGGTCCCAGCGTCTGCCTTGTCCAGGGTCTCCCATCCTCTCCCTCCCACCACATGGCCACTCCCTGCCTGCTAGGGAAGACAGGGCACCCCTGGCCGCAGCTTGCCCTCACGGCCCCTTTCCTCTCGGCCCAGGCATTGGCACCGTCCCCGTGGGCCGAGTGGAGACAGGGATCCTGCGGCCTGGCATGGTGGTGACCTTCGCGCCCGTGAACATCACCACGGAGGTGAAGTCAGTGGAGATGCACCACGAGGCTCTGAGCGAGGCCCTGCCCGGGGACAATGTCGGCTTCAACGTGAAGAACGTGTCAGTCAAGGACATCCGCCGGGGCAACGTGTGTGGGGACAGCAAGTCTGACCCACCCCAGGAAGCCGCCCAGTTCACGTCCCAGGTGGGCAGCCCAGTGGCCAGCGGGGCCCACCCCAGGCAGTACCAGGGCTGTCCTCAGCGAGGGGGCTGCTGGGTGCCAGGGAGGACCGAGACCCTCACTTTGCAGAGCAGGTCCCCAAGGACTGGCGGGTTGTAGGCAGGAAGAGTGGGCAGGGCGCTCCCAGCCTCACTGAGTCCCTGCTCTGGGCCTGAAAAGGCTGTTCTCAGTTTACTGCTGGGAACAGGCCTGTGGTACTTTGTTCTCTACATGCTTACTGTGCCCTCTTTGGTGACCTCTGTAGGTGAGTAGGATTTTTTAATTGGCTTTACTGAGATATAGCTGAAATATGATAATTGAGGTGTACTGTTGTCATGCCCTGGCCTCTGCTCTAGTGCTGCCCTTTCAAACTATGCCCTTGTCATTGTTTATCTCTTGTGGCCTTTCAGATGCTCAAAGAGGACCTTGGGGTTCAGGTCTGGGAGCCTCAATTCTCCCTATCCTGACTTTCCTCCATGGACAGCATCTGGGCCCCAGGGACCTGGGATGGGCAGAGCCTCCTCCAGCTCAGGGCCCTCCCCCGGTACCCACCTGGGCATGCCTGATGGCCTTGTGTACCTCTGCCCACAGGTCATCATTCTGAACCACCCTGGGCAGATCAGCGCTGGCTACTCACCAGTCATTGACTGCCACACAGCCCACATCGCCTGCAAGTTTGCTGAGCTGAAGGAGAAGATTGACCGGCGCTCCGGCAAGAAGTTGGAGGACAACCCCAAGTCCCTGAAGTCCGGTGATGCAGCCATTGTGGAGATGGTCCCGGGGAAGCCCATGTGTGTGGAGAGCTTCTCCCAGTACCCGCCTCTCGGTGAGCTGGGTGATGGGGAAGGGGCAGCCATCAGGTGGCAGCCAGTCCAGGCCAAGGGCAGAGAGCTGCTGTGGGGGTGGGGTGGACAGAGGGTCCTGGACTTTCCTGCTGCGGCTTAGAGCTTAGAGGAGACCCAGCCTTGGTCTTTGTCTCACAGAGCATAGGTGGCTTCACTGGGTGGGTGGGGGATGGTACCCCCCTCTGCAGATGAAGTCCCCTAGGGGACTCACTCAAGGTCCACAGCTTGGCAGAGTGAGGACTGACCACCGGCCTCCAGCTGGCCTGCCCCACCGATACCCCAGGGATGACCCACAGATCTATATCAGAGAGCTGCCTGTGCAAGGTTGCTGGCCACCGTCAGAATACTTTAAGGGTGAACTGTATTCTGCACCAGGCTGCTCTAAGGACTGTGTATATGCCATTTAATTCCCACAACGACGCCTTGGCGGAGTCCCATATGTGTTATTCCTCCCATCTAAGGAGAAGGGAGCCTAGCACCTCACTGCCCCCTGCCTCCACTCCGGAAACAGTCAAACAGGCTCACAGAGCTCCGCGCCAGGGTCCCGCCCCAGGGCCAGGGGCTGGGGGAGGATGCTGCCGGCACCAGTGCGCCTGCGCGCTGCATCCGGGCCTGCGGCTCACGCTCCCTCCCCGCAGGCCGCTTCGCCGTGCGCGACATGCGGCAGACAGTGGCCGTGGGCGTCATCAAGAACGTGGAGAAGAAGAGCGGCGGCGCCGGCAAGGTCACCAAGTCGGCGCAGAAGGCGCAGAAGGCGGGCAAGTGAAGCGCGGGCGCCCGCGGCGCGACCCTCCCCGGCGGCGCCGCGCCCCGCCCCCGCCCCCACCCCCGGCCCCGTCCCCGGCGCGGCCCCGGCGCCCCGCCCCCCCGCCAGGCGCATGTCTGCACCTCCGCTTGTAAGAGGCTCTCCGTCAGCGACTGGATGCTCGCCATCAAGGTCCAGTGGAAGTTCTTTAAGAGGAAAAGCGTCCCCGCCGCCCCGGCTTCCGCGTCCAGCCTTTGTCACGCTCAGTGCCCGTTTTACCAATAAACTGAGCGACCCCAGAACCGTGTGCGTCTGCTGCTGGGGGGTGGGCGACCTGCACTGCATGAGGGCGGTCCTTAGAACCCCTCCTGGCCCCCCACCAGGCTGCCACCCCGTCCACCCCGGCGGCCATCACCCCTGCTGGCTATGTGCCCAGGCGTCCACCCACACTAACCAGGTGGGCGGTGGGTCGCTGAATTCGGAGTCCAGCTGGTGAGGGGGCTTTGGCGTTCCCCCAGTGGGGGCATCCAGGACAAAGAATGGGTCACTTCGGATCTGCAGAAGGGGGGTGAATGTTTTGGGGGGGTCTCTCTGACAATGGGATGAGCAGAAGGCTCCTGCACGAGTGATTGTCACACACACCTTCTTCTTCTCCTGGGGTTTCAAGCTCTTAGAAGTCTGCTCTTATACCCCATGCCCACAAGCCAGTCACTTGTGCCACATCCACCCTGCTACTCAATGGGGCTCATAAAACAGCCGGGAACTGTGACCCCAGAAACCCCAGAGCAATCCCTGACTGTGGTCAGTGACGGGGGGAGACGGGAGGAATGGCAGGATCACTCCCTGCCCAGCCAGCCCTGCCCCAGAAAGCAGCCCCCAGCCCCAGGGGGTGTTGGCACTGCCTACACAACTCAGGAGGGCTGAGCCGATCCCCCACCACAGGCGCAGTGCACACTTGCACGTTTGCAGTGGAACTGGGCTGCGGGTTGTCCCTTCCAGGGTGAGCAGCCACCAGCCATAGGGTCCCCCAGTGTAGGAGTCCCCTGGGGCTGCAGCAACAAATGGGCCCCAAGCTGGCAGCTTAAAACCACAGACTCTCTCACAGTCCAGTACCCCTGGGACAAGACCCAGCGTGGGCCTGCTTGCTCCAGAGGATCAAGGGGAGAGTCCGGCCTCTAGAAGCCCCTGGGGACTGCTGAAGTTCCTTGGCCCATGGCCACATCCCCCCAGCCTCTGTCACCATGGTCACATGGCCTCCTCTTCTCTGAGTCAAACCTCCTCTGCCTCCCGCTTATAAGGAAGCGCACTGAAGACCCTCCCCACTCCCAGATAATCCATGATCATCTCAGCTCAAGATCCTTAATTTAGTCACCTCTGCAAAATGCTTTCTTCTCACTTGTCATGTCACAGGTTCCAGGGCCTGAGGCCTGAGGCTCCTGAACTCTGGGAGCCTATCCAGCCCACCACCCCAGGTGGGGATGGGAATTATGCAGCCCAGCGAGGGGCCAGTGGGACAGAGCGGTGCATGGAGTTCAGGGGGGTCTACAGAGGGGCTGTGGTGTCTCCTCGCCAAGTCCCAAAGTGGGGCTGGGTCCCCGGAGGTGGCATGAAGGGAGAGTAGGACCAGAAAAAGGATGACCAAATTAGTCAGGCTGCATGGGGACCCAATTTTCTGTGCTGGCGGCCTGCAGACCTCGCGGGAACCATCTGGGCTGGCCCCCAGAGGCCTCCAAGGAAGGCAGCCTGAGTAGGCAAATTCAGACACAGAGAGTAAGAGAGAGAGTTAGTTGCCCAGTCATGTCTGATTCTGTGACCCCATGGACTGTAGCCCACCAGGCTCCTCTGTCCATGGGATTCTCCAGGCAGGAATACTGGAGTGGGTAGCTACTTCCTCCTGCAGGGGATCTTCCCGACCCAGGGATCAAACCTGGGTCTCCTGCATTGCAGGCAGATTCTCTACCATCTGAGCCACCGGGGAAACCCACAGACACAGCTCCCCTAGTCAAATATGGGTTTCAGAGAAACAGTGGATAATTTTTAACATAAATATGTCCTATACACTATTTACACTGAAAAAATATTTGTTGCTCACCTGAGATTCAAACTTAATGGTGTTTTACCTGGAGGCCCTACCAGAGGAAAGTGGATGCCTCCTGCCACTCTGCTGAGATGTGGCCCGTCCCTCAGGCCAGCGTGGGCTGACCCCACGGGCTGTCTGTCCCAGGAAGTGTCCTGACACACTTGGCCCAGTTAGAATTGGGGTCAAGCAGGAAAAACCTGTCAGCTCGAGACAGGCTAAGAATGAAACCAGCCCCTGGCTGGGGTCAAAGGAAGCCACCAAGCGTGGTCCCTGTGGAGACCCTCACCTTCTGGTCCCAGTGACAAATTCTGGTCATTCAGATGCCAAGGCTGGGGGCTGTAGGCCTGTCCTGCTCCCCAGAGGGCTGTCCTTGGGCCACATTGCTCGCCCCCCAGGTGAGTGTTTCTGGAATGGGGACACAGATCGCTCCAGGCTGGTGGGCTCTCAGGATGGCTTGAGGACAGAGGTGGAAGCAGTATCCCATTCCCACAGAATCTGAGCCAGTCGGGGGTCCCTGCCATGGTGGAGGGTGGGGTTTCTCGAAGGGTTTCAGTGCCTTGGGCTCCCTTGGGGATGCAGAGATTAAGGCAGGCCCAGGAAGGTGCCAGCTCCTCGTATGATTCCTGGCAGGGTCCTTTGCCTCTCTGCATCCCTGATGCCCTGCTCCAGGTTAGGGGCAGAGAGGCGGAGGAGCAGAAATCCAGACCTCGCTGATCTGGACGTGCAGTATCTCCAAGTGTACACGTGAGGGCAGCACATGCAGCACATCTCCCAGGACTTTCCGTCTGACCTTGGGGGTGGGTCAGCACCCTTCAGAGCTGGGGTAGGCAGGGGCCTGGGTCTCCGGGCTGTTCCACTCAACAGAAGGGGCTTCAGGGGGAGGCACTGGCCACACCCGGGGACCGGTAGCAAGGAGAGGCGGCTGGGTGAGACAGCAGACCCCTGCATTACCCTGGGCGTCAGTTCTCAGACCCTCACAGGGTCGGATGCTGCTGAGGTGACAGCTAGGGGCTGAGTGCACCAGAGATGAAAGCAGGAATATTTAAAACTCAGGGTCACACAGTGCAGTCCTCACACAGCACGTGGCTCTGAAAACCCCACTCACTGCAGAAGGGGGGCCTGAGGGACAAAGACAAGCAGTGGTGTTACTGAGTAAATAGTTTAACCCTGAGGGCCTTCTGGAGGCTTCTTGGGCCCTGGGGTGTCTGGATGGAATTTTGAGAACCTTTAATCTGGGCAGCAGTGCAGCTGGCAAGGGTCAGCTTGCTGCCCTCTCCACCCGATGGGAGCCAGGTGAAAGCAGGCAGTGGGTGGACAACCCCCTAAGGTCAAGCGCTTGTGGGCATCATGCGGCTGCCTCCACACCTGCCTTCTCTGCTGTCCAGTTCCTGGTGCGGCCATCCGAGTTCAGGCTGAGGCTGCGGAGTGAGATGGAGGGCCCTTCCTTTGTTTCGATGGTAGGTGGGCCCTTTCCCTCCACAGTTTGGGGCAGGGGAGCCGAGGAGGGGGCAGAGTCCACTGGGTCGGTGGGGCCGGGCGTCAGCTTCAGAGGCGGTGGGTGGTTGGACAGGGGGTGGGTGGATGGGGTGGGCACGACAGCCCAGACAGTGCACCCTGGGATGGGGGTGGTACAGCCTCAGGGCTGGGGCCCAAGGACGGGACACAGACCAGCTCTCACACCTGGCCTAGATACCCAGGCTTCCCCAGACAATGTGGGGACTCAGACAGCAGCCTTCCTGCTGGCCATGGGGCTGGTGCCTGCAGCCTGGGCTTGGTGAGTGGTCCCTGAAGCTGGGGCCTGGGGCTGGTCTCCCGCCCTCTGCTGGGCTGGTGAATAATTGAAAGCAGGAACCACCAGGACCCGACTGGCAGCTTCAGTCTGCACTTTGGATGCCTCTGAAAAATTCATGAGTCCTTGGGGTGGCAGGGTCCTGTTGAGCTGGCCGAATCTGAGCTATCTCCTGCCCTCATCTCCCCAGGGCTCCCAATGCCTTCCCTCAAGGCAGGAAGCACCTTCCCTCTTTCTCCCAGGGACGTGGGTGACCCTGGTGGTGACAGTCCTGGGAGCAGCCTCAGACTGTCCCTGGAGATGGCTGTGGGCGTGTCTCCTCCTGGGTGCCCTGATATGTCTCTGAGTGGGGCCATGGTTGTGCCAGACTGCATGAATGTCCCTGGTATGTGTACCCAGCTGTGCACATGTGTGCGAGTGTGACCTGGTTGTGGAGCTTGTGGGCCTGTGTGTAGCTGTGTGGGGTGTGAGGGGAATGAGGTGGGCTGTCCTGGAGCCCACGGGAGCCGGCATGTGTGCAGGTGTGCATCTTGTGCATGCTTGAGGGAGCACGCATGTGCGTGCACACACATGCACATAAATGTGCATGTACACCTACACAGGCTATGTCTTGGCTCTACCTGCACTGCTGGCTGGCTGCCTGGAATCAGGTCTGAGCTCCTGGGGGCGCCCGTGGGTGGCTGGATGGCGGCAGTGCTGGGCAATTTTCCCGGCCCTGCAGCCATGCAGAGAGAAACCAGCCAAGTGGCTGGGCTGGCTGCTCCCAACTCTGCTGGGGTGGATCTGGGTGTGTCATGGAGGAATGGAGCTTTGTGTCCGGAGGAGCTGCTGTTTTTTGGTGTCTCTCTGTGGAAGTCGGCTGGGGAGGAGGTAGAGGGAGGCCGGGGGGTTACTCAGATGTGGGCTTGTGGCTGGGAACCTGGGCAGCACAGAGGTCCAGTCAGCTCACACCAAGATCAGGGCCTGGATTGTGTGAAGAGTGGGGCCTGAGGCAGGGCTGGGTGAGGTGACAGTGTTCAGGTTCTGCCTGTCTGGGGTCTGCCCTGGCAGAGTGGGTGGGCCTGGAAGGGTCAGCGAGTCAGAGACCAGATCACAGTTTCTGGATTGTCTCTCTGAAGAGGCTTGGTGAAGTGGCCCCAGCCTCTGAAAACC